AAAAAGAAAAAAAGATTGAAAAGAAAACCTTGAGAGAACAAAGAGTGAAATAGAAAACCAGGAGAAGGAGGAGGACATCCAAAAAAGCCATTGGTAGTGAAGGCAGCAAGTAGTTCTTGGGTATCCTTCCCTTCATACCCTTATCTCTTTTACTTTTTTGTGCATGTTTTTTTTTCTTGTGTTTTTGCTTGTGTTGTATGTTGTAGTAAGGTCTTGATATGACTAAGGAGTGATGTAATAGAAGTAAGAAACAAAGATAGAACATGGCGTAGGTTGCATAGTGACATGAGTTGAAAAACTCAACAAAAAAAACACTGTCATGTTCGCTGGCAAGTTCGCCTAGCGAACTTTGCCACTTTTCCCCACTGTTTCCATAAAAAACGTGCATTTTGGGCAAAACAACATGAAGTTCGCCTAGCGAACTTCTTGACTTTTTCTTCTGTCATGTTCGCTGGCACCTTCGCCTAGCGAACTTTTCCCCTTTTCGTCTCTGTTTGTGGTCGCTAGCACCTCGCCTAGCGAACTTATCGTTGTTTTTTCTGGGCACCTTCGCTGGCACCTTCGCCTAGCGAACTTCAGTCCATTTTCGCCTCTGTTTGCGTTCGCTAGCACCCTCGCCTAGCGAACTTATTGTTTTTTCTGGGTAGCTTTGCTACAGCCTTCGCCTAGCGAACTTCCCCTATTTTTTCTAGTTTGTTCCTAAAAAAAATTTCAAGGAGTTCGCACGGCGAACTCCTTGATGGCGTTTTTTTTTCGTATCTTGTTTCTTTTTAAGCCGACTAACTCGTTGTGTTTGTATGGTTTGTTGTATGTGGATATTGTTGGTCATTTTTTACCTTTGGTTCCAAAAAACTATTTTCAAGAAAACAAACTCTTGATTCTCATCGATCCATTTTTTACCTTGTAAGTCGATTGCCTTGTGCATCGCCATCAACCTTGTTCGCATCACCTCAAACTTTTTTAAACAATCAAACCCTTGATCCAACGTCAAGCAGATTTTCTCAAACAACTGTTAAACCAATTCACCATCTTTAGTAAAAGGATAAAATTCTCTTTGTATTGAGCTAAAGAGAGAGGATTGAGTGCAGACTTCTTCCTCTCCGAGTGTCGGGATACTCACTTTAGAGCGTGTGGTATCGATACTTGTCTTTCAATACGAAGATGTAACCGTATTCGCCACACCTTTTTCTCCTAAAAACCCTGGTCCCATACCGAGTGCATTTTCAAACTCTTTTCACAACGAAAGCTTGAATGGTCGTGGAGTGGTTAGGCGTAAGCCTTCTCTTATCCCGAGTGTTTGACATTTACCGTAGGGTTCACTGTCGCAAAGCACTTACCATTCAAAACCAGAAATACTTTAATAAGAGAATGAAGTTCTCTTTGTATTGAACTAAAGAGAGAGGATTGAGTGTAGACTTCTTCCTCTCCGAGTGTCAGGATACTCATTGTAGTGTGTGTGGTCTCGATACTCATTTTTCAATATGAAGACGCTATATTCACCACACCTTTTCACAACAAAACTTTGAGATAAAGAATTGGGTACTACCCGCAAGGGGTTACTATCCGATGACATATTTCACCTCTAAAAACAATTCCACAAATCAAACGCGACATCTTGCCTCGCATGACGAAAACTAATCATTTCAAAAAGGATATGTTACGTCAATTCTACCGCAAACAGGTAACGCCTAAGTCTCCAATGGTCGAGCAACAATACACCTAAACTGCTAGAATGCGCACGATAATATCATCCATGAAAACATTAGTTAACCTTATCCCGAACTACGTTTGCTCTGATTTCTCATGCCAGATGAGAATACGTAGGCACAAGATGACAATGTCTTGGCGAGCACAATCCCCTATCGCCTGTAGTTTCCCGAATTACGTCGACTCTGACTTTCTCATATCTGTTGAGAATACGTAGGCCTAGGACCACGAAGTCCTATCGAGTCCTTTCTTTCCTTCTTTACCCCCTTTCCCCGGTTTCTAACCTTTCTCTTTATCCCTTTAGAACACTCATTTAGCAATAATCTTTTAGCAAATACCTTCACGCATCGACAAACAAATGGTTCCCATCGAGTACGATGGATGCGAAGGGTGCTAATACCTTCCCTTCGCATAACCGGCTTCCGAACCCGTTCTTGGTCACGAGACTATCTTATCCATTTCTTTCTTAGGGTTTTCTCGATGTTTTCCCTTCCCTCATGGGATAAATAAAGTTCGGTGGCGACTTTTTTGTCCTTCTTTTCGCCTCCCCATCGTTGCATTTTCGAGTAGCGACAGAGGGTAACGTCAATGTGAAGATGCTGGCACACGAGCTCGAACGCCCGCACGAACGCGACCGCGTTCGGATGAAGCTGCGAGGGTGCCAACTCCAACCACCGGAATATCCCCTCCTGAACTCGCTAAAGGGAAGACGAAGACCTGCCTCCTGAAAGGCGAACTTGTACAGGGAAGCGCATCCCCTCGTATGACGAGTAGATGCAATCCGTCTTTTTGGGCCTGTAAACCCCTTAGCCCGCGGGGGCCTCTTCCTCTCGGTCCTATACCGTCGTGAAGGCGTCCGAGTCATCAAAAATGAAACGCGAAACGATGTTTTAGGGCTCCTGCTCGACCCAATCTGACGATGATTCAACTTCTACATTGGCCAAGCAAGTTTCAACATCTGTGTCGACCAAGTCGACTTTAGCGTGTTCGTCAACCGTGGCAGTATCCTCGGGCTTTGGAGCCATTTAACCTGAAAAGCAGAGGAAAACAATAAATTCAACATTAAGATCAAATCCACTCTTCCACCGGAAATCAAGTGAAAGGGTGAAGAAAAGCGCGAGGACGCGTCCTCGACCAAAGCCCTTGTCGACAAGCGCGTAGTCATGAGGAACTTTTCCTTGACACAAGACATTAAGCTTACTACGCAAGGTGGGATTCCTCAACAGAAAAACTTTGTATCATGACCTTCAAAGGGAATAAGCATCCTCAATGCGATACTTTTTAGCAGTTTCTAGACCCCTGCGGGGAGGAAGTCTCCCTAACGTTAAACCCAGTGAGGACGCTAAAGCCTCATGGGTTCCCTAAGACCTTCATCAGAAACTTCCCGAGTTTCCCAGAATCCTCATGAGTTCCCCGGGATCTTCATCGAAAACTTCATGAATTCACCGACAACTTCATGGACTCCCCGTGAACTTCAACCGAAACCTCATGAGTTCCCCGAAAACTTCATCGAAACCTCATGAAGTTCGCCGGAAAATTCATAGAAATTACCAAAAGACGAATAACTTCATCGCGAAGTTCTCGAGCATCCAGAACATGCATTCTTAAAGCTACGTCTACTGCCATGATAGAAAAGAGAGAGGAAACTTACATGTGTAAAGAAGGTTCTGGAAAGCTATAGTGGCGTGAGAGGAACCGACGACAACGACGAACGAGAAATGGAGAGCAAAAAAACTCGAGGGATTCATGTAAGAGCTTTAATATTGAGAGCGTGAGAAATGCGTCCCCTCTCCTTATATTTATATCCGCTGGCACGCAGAACGAATCGTCACCTAGGCACTCAAGCACCCCTACTCATAGGTCGTCAGAGGCATTTATTACTTCTGACATGTGGCTTAAAAAGTCGTCCTGCTTGTCCTTTCAAGCCCCATCACACGAATCGAGGAAATGACGTGTCCGCTCCTTCCACTTCCACCATGCGTCGAGCACAATGCTCGACTTCCATATTGTGCCACGAACACTAACTCGGGAAACGTATGGAACAAGTTACATTGTCGAACACAATTTACGACTCTGACCCCCTCGCGAGCACATGGCCTCGGGGTGAACGCGAAATTGGACCCTGTCGTCGAGCACGAGTAAACCTCACAGGCAACACCCTGGTAAAAATATCCATATGCTCACGCTGTCGGGAATGATGATAAACTTCTACGTTCCCTCGCGAGCATAACTTCACAGGTTCACCACATCAAACCCGAGCAACGCTCATCCGCAGGCAAAATCTCGTTGTCCCTTTTCGACATAAGAATTGACTCTAAGTCATTACTTATCTACTTTAGAGCAACGACTTAGGGGCTCCTGTTCTAGACTAGGCCCGAGGCTAGCCCACCGTCGGGCACGGCGCAAACCATCCACGCGTCGAGGAGGGCCCAACACATAGGCCAAAGCTTCCATAATCGTTGGAGAGCACACCCTCCACATGTTTCCCAGACGTTATCCACGTGCTCCTCACGCGGGAACACGTCACCAGCTGAATCCACATCTGTGAGAATAGGCCATCGACTTCCCGGAGTTTGTGGGCAGCTGACCCAGATCGAAGACCACGTGCGGGTCTTTCTTACTTTCACGTAGGATCCTGGCAGTCATCTGTTGTGCGCCTTGCGATCCAGCCCAAAGCAGATGACCGTTGACCCAACGCTAGGGGCACATTATAGATACCCTCCTCCACAGGAGAGTCAGGTATTCTAACTCATACTCACTTTTTGTACTCTCTCTCTCTGAATCTCACTTTGACATCAAAGTGTCTTGCAAGTACACCACCTCCTCTTCTTCACCACCGACGAATTTATAACTCACGAAATGTTGCTGACCGCTGATCACCGGTAAGATCAAATAGTAAATCTGTAATTAAATGTTGATGCAACTATTAACTAAATTAAATTATTATTTGTATATTCAATTTTTTAACCGAATATACTCTTTTACTAATTTAAATTAAACTAATGGTTTTCCATTTTAGAACAAAAATTTATGTTTTGCCTTAAAAGGAAACTTAAACTTTTGTTTTAAATAGTTTAATGACGAAAAACGTTTTTTTTTTTCTTTTTCAATTGAAATAAAATAACCCCAGCCAAAAAATAAAATAAAATAAAAGATAAATACAATTATTCTGTAATTTGTCCTTTCTGCGTGCGGAGTCTACCACGGCGTTGCAGAAGAAGCGAAGGAAAAGGGCACTATTGTCCACTTTTGCAAACTTCGTAACGTCGTCGTTAACGGTTATTCCTCCGGCGATGGTCGACGAAAAATCCCCCTCGACGGTCACCGGTAACAGAGATCGAGAGCTTCTCATCCCTGTCGCTAATTCCGGCGTTGACACCGATGCTTCCAAGCCGTCGTCGTCGGCCTCCTCCGTTCATCATACCGGACGCGAGGTTATGATCTTTCCCTTCTCTACTCTAGGGTTTTAATTCTTCATCACTATCGCTTTATTCCGTTGCGTTTTGAAGCATTTGATTCATCTATAAACCATGCGTGCTTATCTGAATATGTTAGTTTCGGAGGTTTCTTTGTCTTAGATTGGTACTGTTATAAAGATCAATTGAATTGAACCTATTGCTTTTTATATCACCTGATGAACTTGTCACCTTTGAACTAAGAGCACCAATGCTAGTTCTTAGCTCTAGTAGAAACACATTAGTGTTGTTAATCCCTGATTGCAAAAATTAGAGGTTTGTTCAAAATCCACTGCATGACGGTGCTTATGCCGCAATTTGATAACACTTTTTGTACTAAATAGAGTAGGGAATAATACTAATTTCTCAACTTTTGCTACTAATTTCATAACAAAAATCTAGCATAGGTTAATTTTTTCCTGGTTTGGGTTATGTGTCTTTTCAAGTTTCTTAATTTGGAAGAGTTTAATACTACATTGAAGCTGGTTTTAGCAACATTAGGAGCTGGTGGTTAATAATTCCGATTCATAAATATTGCAATTTTTTTCGTGAATTTGAATACCTAAGCCTAGCATGAGTTATCATATTCATTTTGTTGCATGAAAGAATTTATCTGAAATATTTGTCTGACAGATCGCCATTGTTGTTTCTGTCAATTTGTAGACTTTTTCCATAGTTGTTAGGAGCTGGGCATCAAAAAAGTTCATGACTGGATGGTGAGCCTTTCTTTCTTCAACCTTATACCTTTTCATTTTACATTCTTACACGTCAAACTAGTGCACACACTACACCTCAATCTTTCACTATCACTTCTTATTATTTCATGAAGAAAGCTATTCTCTTGTTTGAGATGAATAGCATGAAATGTATTCATTTTCTCTAATTCTTTTATCTACATTGAGTTTATGCTGCCATCTTGGTGTATAAGTGTTTGTATCATGAATCTAATGTTACCATTACATGATAGTTAAGCTTATCTCTTCTACTAGGATATAAGAAACTTTGCTACTTTGCTAGTTATATAGTGTTTGTGTATGAACACTGGAAAGTAGTGGACAGGTCATTTTTGGCAAATGAGGAATGGAACAAAAAACCTACAAACTCAAAACTTATAATAAAATAAGCAAAGATCTCTGACCCTCCTATTTTCTCTCTCTGACTGAACCACCACGATTCCCGGGCAACTGGATTAGTGTTGTCTGTATCATTCTCAACAGATGTGCCTGTACCTTTATCTCCACATCATTTGAGGAATTCCACAATTTTCCAGGGAAAATTGAAGGAAGGAATCTAACTCATTTTTCAGATTCTCTTCTTAAACTCATCAACAGTGTTGAGTGTTGACTATTGTCTTTGCTGGAATCTTCTAGATTGTTCTGAAAGAATACCCTGTCAATGGAGGTCGAATTTGCAGGGAGGGAGAGGGGCCAAGAGAATGTGCTCAGGAGCGAAACTGAGAGTGGAGAGGATTATTCAAGTTGTGATGAAATGGTAGTGCTTTTCAGAGGCTGTGATCATATTCAGAGGTTTGGTTTTATGTGGTTGTGGTGGGGGTGGTGTGGGGTTGGAGGAAGTTACTAAGGTTATGTTACTGGGCTGCTAGTAGAGGAAGTATGATGTTAGTGGAGAGAAGTTTGGAAGACTGGTTTATATTATAGCTATGAGATTGATGGGCTGATACAGAACTAACAGTGGATCAGATCATGGAGAGGTTGGTGACCATGATGGAGAAGTGGTAGGAGAAATCAACAGTTAGAGGGAGGGGAAAGGAAGCAGGTTCAGTAGGGGGGTAGGGGAGATGAGATAAATTTACAATTCTATCCTTTAAGTGAATATCAGATCGGGGGACCTAACTAATACTAAATTCAAAACATCAGATCAAGTGGTTATCAATGCAAGGTGAACCAGTTTACCATTTTTAATTTGCGTATTGTACCATAAACACGGTCAGTAATATATTCAAAGTTGCAGTCCTTAATGACAAATCCTAATTGAGTAAAACCCCTAGGTTCTAGACTATATAAATATCCAAATTGCTTATTGTACCAAACCAACCAAATTATTGCCAAAATGTCTATTTCCACAATAGGTAGATAAAAATATACAACATTCTCATTGGTATCTCTCTCTCTATCACTGGTTTTAGAAGGATAATGTGATCGAGAAATATATCATATTTTGAAATGATAATATACACAGCATACTTGCTGCAAACTTGCAAACAATATTTACGAGTGTCCAGTGTCCACTATTTGTCTATCTATTTGCATTTATCTTAGGTTTGCAAAACTATGTCTCTGCTTCAGGGCTTATTGTTTTAACATTTCAGACTGGTTGTTGCTTTAGCTTTATCTTTGTGGTTGGGTGCTTTTTGTGGCAATTTGTCTATGGAAGCTTTGAAAGATAAGATTATAGTTTTAGATTAGAAGGCTATTTCTTTTATATGGTTTCCTTTTTTATGACTTCTTTCTTTCTCACGATCATGCGATTATATTTGACATTTTATGCTGTCATTCAGTATCAAATCTGTTATGATACCTATGTAATGGCACTAGAAACTGAATGTTATGAATTCCTGTTATTATTTCTCATTGTTTTTTTTTCTTGTTGAAGTGTTATTCTTTTTCCAATTGCAATCACCTTCTACTTTACCTGGTGGTTCATTCATTTTGTGGATGGGTTTTTTTCTCCAATCTATGCTCAACTTGGAATCAATATCTTTGGTAAGTGCTTCTGTTGTGTGGTACTTTACAATACACCTTGTGTTTTCCCCCGAAAAGATCATTTAAGAGCGACTATTCAATTCTATTGGACAAAGCATTTTGTTATCTCTAGATTTTTAAAATTTCATTTTGTTCAAGTTTCGCCGTTTTTTGTATTTGTGGGATGCTGGAAGTACAACTGTGCAATATAGCTACAAAAGTAGTACAATTTTTCCGTGAAAGTTAGATATGTTATCAACTGTTGCTGTTGTCTCTTTAAATATTATGTTACCTACTGGATGCCATGGTAGCATTTATCATGTTGAAATAATTGCTTAAACAGTTAAACTTCTTGGTCAGGTCTTGGATTCATAACTTCCATAACCTTCATCTTCTTGATTGGGGTTTTCATGTCATCATGGTTGGGTGCATCTGTCCTTGGACTTGGGGAGTGGTTTATCAAGCGAATGCCTCTTGTTCGTCATATCTATAATGCGTCTAAGCAGATTAGTGCTGCTATATCACCAGGTGTGTTTGCCAACATCTCTCTTTATTGTGATGCAATGCTAATGTAAATTTAATGGTGGGTAAGAAATGTTTTAACATATGTGCCGCCACAGATCAAAACTCACAAGCCTTCAAAGAAGTAGCCATCATTCGGCATCCACGTGTGGGTGAATATGCATTGGGGTTCATCACCTCGTCTGTTGTCCTTCAGGTTTCTTAAATAATTCTACTTTAGTAGCTGTTGAGCTCATAAATTTTTCTTTCAACGTTGCTTAACTTGGTGTTTCACTATTTCTCTATGAATGTCAGTGTCTGTCAGAGCCTGTTGAGACATTGCCCCGATTTACTTTCCTTTATTCCTATCATGTAGATATTTTGTTTACATCTTTCTTATAATATGATTGCTGCCCTTTTCTCTTATCCCAATAATTTAGAGATCTTGATTGTAACTTTGATTAATAAATACATAATGCTGTGAAGGTTTAGACTCAAAACAATTCAGATTAATTCATTCTCTACTTTTCAAGTTGGTCGATGCCCCAAATCCAATAATATTGATTGTGAGGGGATGTATTGGAAAAACTCGAGTCCCACATAGGATAAAGCTAAGGCCTAAAATGAGTTTATAAAGAATGACATCCCTCATCTTATAAGTCGGTTATGTAACAATGAGTTAGGTTTCAATATAAAAATATCTAATACTAGAGCCCAATGCCAAAATGTGTGCCAATTATGTATCATGCAAGTTACAAGTCTCAAATGTGCCTTGTGTACTCTGGGAAACATGACAATAACAGAACAAAATTATACATAAGAGCTAAAGATGATAATGTTGGTGATGATGATGTTTCTAGTCATCCATGCGGTGTTCCCAAATCCCAAAAATGTGGGTGTATGGTGTATGTTAGGAAAAACAGAAAGAATTAGAAAAGAAAGAACTGTGAGCTGGTGTCAATTTCCGTTATGCGGGGATTGGGTTGTGGAGAGATAGAAGCCATAGTGAGGAGAATATTGACATTTATTAATAGCTAGCTGTCAAGGGGGGAGAACCGAACCACTTAAATAGTCCACCGATCATTCTATACTACTCAATGTGTGTGGCACCTGGGAACCCTCCCTTAAAAGCCAGCTGTCAAGGGGGAAGAACCAATTCACTTAAGTACTCTACTTAGCATTCCATGCTACTTGATGTGTGTGGTACTTGGGAACCCCATAATACCCAAGTCTATTATAAGTTTATCTACCAGATCCATGTGTTCGTGCATTCTTTATGGGGAGTTCAATAAAGGTTATTTGCTAAACTCTATCAATCTCATTGGTTCCAGGATCCTTATATTATAATCCTTGTAGGAGTGATAGAATTCTAATCGTTGATGCTAGTTTGCTATACAGGCCCATATGGTAATGCCCATTAGGACTTTGTAGCATAGTTAATGCTTGTTGGTCTCTATGTTGACTTAGGTTCATTTTTGCTGTTTATCTCTAGAGTCATGTGATTTTAGAACTTTCCTTATTGTTTTGAAGTCATGAGTCCATATGGATGAGCATTTGATGTATTGTGTTTGACAAGGAAGATTTAGTGATAATTAATGAAGCTTATATGCAATTATCACAGCTTTAAAAAACTTGTTGAATTGAACCATCTTAAACTATATATCTGTTTCAGACTTATTCTGGAGATGAGGAGTTATGCTGTGTCTATGTTCCTACAAATCATCTTTATATTGGCGATATATTTCTTGTCAACACCAAGGATGTCATTAGGCCAAACATATCAGTCCGGGAAGGAATTGGTGAGTTATACTAGTTTCTACTGTTATATAAGGAAAAGTAGGCTTAATCATGTTGCACTGTTTTTAACATTATGAAGATGTACTATGTTTCTGGAGCTGCCTCTGCTTAGGTGCAGTAAAATTGGAGCTTGAATTTTTGTGTTTTTATTTTAGTGATTTGGAATACTGAGACAATGATTTGAGTAATAACTATCTTTTTTTTTTATGTACCCACTAATTAATAACTATCATGTATAGAATTATACGTTTTACTCGCATGCCGTTCATAACACACCTTAACCGTGTTGCAACTTTTTATGAAAAATATATGAGAACCATAATTGAATTCACTCCAGTATATTTTTAACATATGCTATGTTTTGCAGAAATTATTGTTTCTGGAGGTATGTCAATGCCACAGATCCTATCAACGCTTGATTTACATGTTCCGGTGGAAATAAGCAGACTTGGTAGAAGATGAATGTAAAAAGCACAGTAGTTGTTAGCTGTTTAACAGCTTTTTTCATATGGAGATATCAGAAAAGCAGCGCAACCAATGGGTTACAAATACAGGCATGGAATTTACATGTTGATCTGTGAGCCAGTGTTAGATCGATAGATTATGATGTTCTGTATAACATTCATCTGTGCAATAGAATGTAGAATTTAATGTCTGTTGGAAAATATAGTTTGGGTGATGATATTACAGGGTTGCAACATATTCTTGTGGTAGGGGCCTCAAATTTTCTACTTGTGCATATTATCCGCTCGTAATAGCAATTCAATCTTGTAGTGCTAATTACCCGTTTCAATGTGGTTTTCAATTCATTGGGGAGTCAACTTATTCAAATGTCACATTCTCAATTGAGTATTGAATTTGATCCGACAATATAAAAGAGTTATTCACATGCATCTAAAAAAGTGGCATTATGATGATAAGATTGGGTGTACATGTGCCATTCTTATTTTATTATGTATTAATTTGCAACAACTCATCAATACCAAAAAATCCCCCCGCAATACTTGCCGACATTAAAAAAATCTCATAATACCCTGTTATATGGAAGATAAGATATGATTGGGTGTAAGTGATAATTCAATACTAACAATCTACCAAAATATATGCAACGACTCATCAGCTAAACTTATACAGTCTGTCATGTTTAGTCTTATAATTATTTGTATGCATTTTCTTGAGGGATTCGTTCTGTATTTAATACTATTGAAAATTTAAGTGACCACTTGATCTTAGCCAGTGCACTATGCCAAGTGTTGTAGTAGGATCCATCCATGGTAACTAATATTAATAATTAAGGCGAGAGAAGGTAATATAAAAGGAATCTAGGAAAGAATTCTTGAAGGTTTCTTTGATGACAATATTGTTTGTAAGGTTTATGGGATTGGTTCAGTCAAATTTAAAATGAAAATGTTTGATGGTTGTGAATTTTTCTTCCTAACGTGAAGCATGTCTCAGAACTCCGGTGAAATTTGTTATCAATAAACATGTTTGATGATCTAGACTATTATACTAGAGTTGAATATAGGGTGTTGAATATTTCGTATGGTGAAGTTATCATAATTAAATGGTCTAAAATATATGGTCTATATATTTTAGAAGATTTCAATTTTGTTGTTCATTCATCATTAGCTAGAATTTAGACTTTCATGACAAGAATAAGCTATGAAATTTGAGGTCAAAGCATGATGAATGCTTAGAGGTTGTTTTAGAGCACTTTAATGAGTTTTGTAGAAGATGAGAGATAAAAACGCATGTGACCGTTGAGTTGACATTGAATTTATGGGGGTAAGGCTAATGACAAAGCATTTTACCTGGTTGGTAGGTATTCATTTACAAGAATAAATTTTCAAACACTCATGGTGTAACGTCCATTTTAATTATTTAAGTTTTTTCCGTGTTATTTTATTATCAGCATGCCTTGTGTGGGAATTGTTGAGGATATAAGGAACATAATATTAATATTATATAATTGATAATGATAATAATGAATAATTAATATTAATGTTGATATTATTATTATTATTATTATTATTATTATTATTATTATTATTATTATTATTATTATTATTATTATTATTATTATTATTATTATTATTATTATTATTATTATTATTAATACTATGAAGACTTTGTTAATTGGAATTGTTTTGGAATTAAAAAGAGAATTTTGGGGTATTAAGGGCATAAGTGCCATTTTGAAAGAAAGCGAGAAAGAGAAGAACACGAGCAAGGAAGGAAAGAAGAACACGGTCTAGCAAGTGAAGAACAAGCTTGAAGAGTGTGATCAAGAGGAAGAAGAAGTGAGCTTGGCGGTGGTATTCTTGAAGATTCTTTGATCGAAATTGCATTTGAGGTAAGGGGGGGGGGGGGGGGGGGGAATCCGTTAAAATTGGTAGAATGCATGAATATTAGGTAGGAGGGGATTTCCCTTAACCCCATAAGTTTGATGATTATGTTTTACTTGGTGTTGTGATTCTGAGTTGTTGATGATATGTTGATTCCATTGCATGTGCTGTTTGATCAATTTTGGGGGTTTTCGGGTAGTTCGAAGTTTATGCCGAAGTTGATTAAATGAGTAGAGCTGACATTTAATCGGGTTAAATCGAGGATAGATGTTGTGGTTGGGTTGTGGAATATTGGTCTGATATGATGGGGTCTGGTTTGAAGTAAAATCGGTTGAGTTCTGAGCGTTTTGCCGACTCCGAGCAGTATTATTTTTCTGAAATCGCAGACGTTCACCAGCTGCTTCGCTGGGCGAGCGAGTAGCGAATCTTCGCTGGGCGAACTGGGTAGCGAGTGCTTTCAGTAGCCACTGTCTGGCTTCGCTAGGGAGTTCGCTGAGCGAGCATTCGCTGATGCTTCGCCTAGCGAGTGAGCCAGCGAGCATGACAGTGTTTTGTATTTTTGTGATGTGTTGTTCTGTTCTCTTGTGCTGTTGGACCCTTGTTGGTCGTGATTCATTATGAGATTGATGTTGAATTAGGCAGAGTGTATGTGTGGTGTTGGAATGTAATTTCCGTGTTAATCGTTTGATGTGGATATTTCGATTGGTGTATGACATGATACATGTATGTGGTGATGTGTGAAATATATATATATAATATATATATATATATATATATATATATATATATATATATATATATATATATATATATATATATATATATATATATGTGTGTGTGTGTGTGTGTGTGTGGTGTATGATGATGGATTAGTAGGATCGTGTGCACCGTGGGTGCTTGTATTTGGTGTGTGCATTGGTGTCTTGCATAACATGTGGGCGGGTTGAATCATGTCTCTGATGAAACGTAAGTGATTCACTCGTGCTCCAAATGGAGAGCGTAGTAGGGATAGATCGTGTCTCGGATGGAGCGTAAGTGATCTATCCTGAAATTGATTATATGGGCTCAAGAGGAGCATAGTAGGGATAGATCGTGTCTTCGATGGAGCGTAAGCGATCTATCCTGAAATTGATTATATGGGCTCAGGAGGAGCGTGGTAGGGATAGATCATGTCTCGGATGGAGCGTAAGTGATTTATCTTGAGTTTGAGTCGGTATCGCATATCATTGTGTCGAGTTGCATATGTTGCATTGTTGGTGTGTTGTGTTGGCGTGGGACAGTAGGTCCGGATTGATGTATGATGAATGATGTTTATGTGTTGTCTGCCTTTTATTCATGTACATTATTACTGTTATATTTTGATCGTGATTTCTCACCCCTTGTTGTTGTGGTCTGTGCTTCTTCGGAAGTACAGACAATCCAGGTGCGTAGCTAGCTTGGATTGTGGCCAATCGAGTCGTAGGGATGCTCTGATACGTAACACGGGGTTTTTGGGAGTTATTTGTTTGTTTGATGATTTTGTTTATACTCCGTGTCGTATCACGTTTTGATGGATTCATTGATGATGTTTTGTATATTTTGGGCAGATGTGCGAACATGATGTATGGGATGATGTACATATATGTATATATGTTATGACAAATTTCTTTTCTGCTGCTTATTTTGAAAATCTTTTAATGAAATATTTTGTGGAAATTTTTGTGAAAAGTAATATCTCACTTTTGAAAGAGAAACTCTGATATTTTAATTGATTTATTCGCATTTTATTTAAGTTGGGAAGTGGGGTGTTACAAGCTGGTATCAGAGCAGGTCGGTCCGTATGGTCAGTGTAGTAGTTGAGTCTATTTGTAGGATAGAGTTAGTTTGTTTTTCTGTTAACCTGGCGTTGTTGTTGTTGAGCAGTATGGCGGGAAGGAATGATGATGCGTTGGCTGCAGCCATGCAAGCGATGGCGCAGGTGGTTGCTAATCAGAACCACGCTGCGGGTGCGCAATTCAGGAATTTGGCGCAGTTTCAGAGTAACAAGCCGCCGACGTTTCAAGGAGGAATTTTGAACCCTGAAGCGGCGCAGAAGTGGCTTAAAACGATTGAGAAGATCTTCAGGACGATGGGTTGCAGTGATGAGCAGAAGGTGAGGTTCGGTACTCACATGCTAGAGGGTGAAGCTGAAGCTTGGTGGGACAACATGTTGGTGTAAGCCCTAGAGGCCAATACTTTTTGGTACTTGTATCAGATTATTCGTTTAATAATAAAAGGCATTTCTTTATTATGTTTGTCTTTCAGAATAATAAAGTCCCTAGAATAGTTAGTCTGTTTAATGAAATGTTAAGTGTGACTTAATCATGAGATCCCATTAAACATAAAGACATTATTCTTAAAATATCCGTAGTCAAGCTTTATTGCAAAGTGGGATAACATTAAAAGCATTGAGACTATTATGAAGATAGACTGATGATCACATCTCATGGATCATGGATAAAGAGTTATCAAGTCTTGACATAGGTATAAATATTAGGAGTAATATTTATACCGGATTGACCCGCTATGAGAATACTACATAGTATGTTATGCAAAGTGTCATAAGTTATTCTCATGGTGATAATGGTGTATTACCACCCTTCGACCTGAAACCACTATGGACCCTAGATGTAGAGTCGGGTGCTTTATTGCTGATCAAACATTATCCGTAACTGGATGATCATAAAGACAGTTGATGGGCACTCCACGAAGCATGCTGAGGGACATGAGTGTCCTAGATGGAATTTGCCAATCCTGCATAACAGGAGAAATGTCTAAGGGCCCAATATTGAACTGGACAAGGATGACACAGTGTATGCCTTGTGTTCAATATAGACATAGGGGCAAAAGGGTAATTGTACAAACATATATTATCACGAAAAAGGTTTTGTCATATCACATGACATTTTCGTGACTTGGGTAGCAGTGATGTGTTGCTAGATACCGCTTACTGTTTATTATGTTAAATATATAATTTAATATAATTACCAACGTTACGAAATCCTACAGGGTCACACACATAAGGACAGTTTGATGAGAGATAGAGAAATCAAAGGAACACCGTAAGGTACGGTGCACTTAAGTGAAAAATAGAAATTC